AAGCTGATGGAGGTCACACAGCTAGTAAATAGTAGAATTCAGGCTCAGGTCTGATAATTGTCAAGAAAAGTGTCATTCTGGAGAGTTCAGGCCCACTCTGGAGTCATGTATCCAGTTTGGGGTGTTATATTTAAGGAAGACATTGACATACAGAGAAACAAGGAACCCATCCATGAGGCAGACTATCACCCTAAAGATTGTTTGAAGGAGCTGAGAATATTTATCCCGGAGAAGAAAATCATCAGAGAACATACAGTTGCTGTTTTCAAGGGCAGAAAGCTCCTCTACTTAGAAACAGGTTGGGTTCACGGGACATTTGCCAACGATTTGTTGGTTAAGTCCGAAAGGACATACTGTAGCCAACTGCTATTGCCACCTACTGGTGGGAGGTAAAATTGATGTGCTGATTTCAGCTACCGTAACTGTACCATTCATAGAACTTAACTTTTCATACATAGACGGGCTTTTAAGCATGATCATTGTCATGTGTAAGAAGTAGCAGATTACCTTTGTGGGAAGAGAATTAGGACGAATGGGTTAAACTCACAGGGGAGAGCTTTTGGTTCCAAAATGAAAGTTAATTTTCTGACAATGAACACATAATTATCAAGGGACTGCTTGGGAGTAGTGAGGTTCTTGTCTGTGGGAGAAAACAAGTCATGCTGAATCTCCCATCTCTCAGGTGAATGGGAGAAATCGATTCCAATGTTTTGGTGGGTCTTAGGCATTCATGGCTTACCTATTCTGAGCTATAGTTGGACGTTTGGGTAGGGGTCTGCCAGGGTTGATAGCATCTGGGCTGTCTTATCCAGGGAGGAACTTTTAGGCTAGGCCAGAGGGAAGGAGGGTACCGCAGGGGCAGAGCAGAAGGGGGAAATATTTTGGACAGGTGGGGCCTGGCAACATTTATCCTCCAGTTATGGCCCTTACACGTAACCAAGGAACAGTCAGAGAGGGGTGGTTCAGTGAGGTTCATGATCCTCCATCGCTTCCCAAACTGACCTCCCACACGGGGCCATTTGTAAACAACCCAAGGAAAAAGTTTCTTATAGATTCTGCAAATGAGATTAAGGCTCGGCTGGAGACAGAGGTTCAGAGTATAGGCAAGGTCAGGGACCAGTCAGGTAGGACCAGTCTGGGTCAGGGTTAGATCAAGGGCTCTGGCTCTCTGTGCCACAGCCTGTGAGGTTTTTCTCATCAAAGCCCTACACTGATTTGGTCCCCAGATTCACTGGGAGGCAGTCCAGTGAGAGCTTATGGAGAAGGGGCTGTGAAATCAGACAGACCCTAGCTTGAATCCTAGCATGGCTACATATTAGCCTTGTGAGCTTAGATTGATTTCTTCTCTGATCTGAGTCTCAGTTTCCTCATCTGTAGAGTGGGCACAGTGACTGCACCCTCCTAACCAGAAAGGTATGAGGATTAAATGAGACCTCCCACATAAATCACTGAATGCAGTGCCTGGGGCACATAGTATATTATTATTATTATTATTAATTATTAAATTAACCTCTGTCAGTAAAAACTAGCTTCGCCCTCCCTGTATGCTCCCCCATTTTCTGTGGCCATGGATCCCGGTCATGGGCACATTTGATACTGAAATCCCCTGCTGGATCTCACTTGGTTAACAAGAATTGCAGAGGCCCCACACATGAAAACACCCACATCCTTGGCCATCAATGCTCCACCACCCTCCCTCCCACCTTCTCTGATGTGGCAGGAACAGAGACGTAATTAAAGCCCTCGGTCCTTAGATGGGGCACGATATGCTCTGGGATTACTCACTGTTCTCTCAGAAAGAAGAGTAGCCGGGCCCATCTGAAAAGGAGTCACACCTGGAACTTGGCACCCAGGAGGTCACCCTGAAAGACCTGCAGAGGAGCCTGTGTCCTGGTGGCCTTAGGCAGCTCCATTACTGGTCAGTATGTGTCTGTGAGTGCGTGTGTGCGGGTTCCTGTAGTGACTGTTCATTCCCCCCCTCCCCACCGAGGTGTACCAGGGGCAGGTGGTGTAGAGGGAAGGATATAGTCTTTGAAGTTTGCAGAACCAAGTTCATATGCCAAGCCTACAGCCTCCAGGCTGTATGAGCATGGAAAGTCTCAGGGTCCTCATTTGAAACGAGGGGAGCGGAAAACCTACTTTACATGGCATTTGCTAATTAAATCAGAGGATGGATAAAAATATCTGGCACAAGGTCTTGGCATGTGGCAGACACTCGGATGGTGGCTTCCGTCATCTTTGTGCATGTTGGTTTAACGGGGGTTGTGTCCATGGTAGGGTTTAGTTTATCTAGTGATTATGCCATGTCTCTCTCCTTAAATGACCTTTGACCAATGGCCACCTATTTGCCTCTTCTTTCTGTTTTTGTTTTTATTTTTGTTTTTCTCTCTTTTTTGTGTTTAAAAGGAATTGTGAGAAAGCGTTACTGGTGAGTGTCCTCAGCTTGATATTGGTGGGGATAGAAGCAGAGCGTCTGGGCAAATGCATATTAAAACCCTTTACGTGCTGAGATGGGGAGTGTGTATATGTGTGTGTTGAGGGAGGGGTTCAGCCACCTCTCCTTAGGAGTAGGAGTGGGGGTCGGGGGCTGGGGAAGAATTTTATTCCATGTTCGCAAATTGTTCCATACCTATTTTTTAAAAAATAAATTTATTTATTTATTTTTGGCCGCATTGGGTCTTCATTGCTGCATGCGGGCTTTTCTCTAGTTGTGGCGAGCGGGGGCTACTCTTTGTTGCGGTGCGCAGGCTTCTCATTGCGGTGTCTTCTCTTGTTGCGGAGCGCGGGCTCTAGGCGCATGGGCTTCAGTAGTTGTGGCGTGTGGGCTCAGTAGTTGTGGTACACGGGCTTAGTTGCTCCACGGCATGTGGGATCTTCCCAGACCAGGGCTCGAACCCGTGTCCCCTGCATTGGCAGGTGGATTCTTAACCACTGAGCCACCAGGGAAGCCTGGTCCATACCTATTTTTATAGAAAGAATTTTTTTTCTGTTTTGAGCTCCTGTCTCTAATTAGTTCAGCAAGTATTCACTGATACCCACTAAAATCCTGAGGGCTATCTACCATTTACTGAGCACTTAAAAGCACTTTCCATACTTAACCTTGATCCCTCATTTCCCTTGGGAAAAGCTACCTCATTTTACAAACAGCAACCCCAGCTGGGAGAGGTTCAGCCACTCACTCAAGTCCTTCCACTGGCAAAGGTGAGGAGAGCCAGACAGGAGTGAAAAGAACCAGAAACAGTCTCTACCTCAAGGACCTGACAATGAACGTGGAAAGTTGACTGCCAGACACAGCAACTGAGACACAAGCTGTGGTGGTGCTTCTTTGCAGGGCACTGCTATGGGAGGATGGAGGGTAGCATCGCTAATTCTATCTGGCGGGAAGTCTTCCTGAAGGTGACTGGGCTGAGTCTGGAAGGTTCTGTTCCTTTTGGAGGGGGAGCGGGCAATGGAGCATGGCCAGCAACCCAGTTCTGTTTAAGGTAGTCAGGAGACAGGAAGCCCAGCCAGGCTGAAAGGTTGAAAGGTTGGCTGGCATGGGGACATCAGGGTCACAGACATGTCCTTCAGGAAGCCTGAGTTGTGAAAGTCCTGAGGATTGGGTTTTTGGGAGGAGGGGACAGACATAGCTGGGGGTGGAGCAGTAGTTTAGGCAGGATCTCAAGACTTAAAGGAGGGCAGAGAAAGTAAAGGCAGAGCCTATCCTGTGGATCAACAGGGCCTGGCCACACAGGGTCATTCTGAGGCTGAGGCCCTTGTTGGGAGGGTTGGCAGGGGAACAGGTCATAGCCACCAGAGCCCCCAGCCTGGCTGCAGATGACCTGACCCCACTTGGGGGGGTGCTGACCCCTGTTTCCATCATGAGCTGGCAGAGTTGGGGGACCTGGGAGGCCAAAGCCTGGGGCCGCAGCCCAGAGACAGCAAAGACCAGGAACGACGGGGGAGGATGGAGTGGCCCGTTGTCCCAGCAGTTTGGCAGAGGTTGGTAGGAGGAACCAGGAGGCTGAAATGGAGGGTGGAAACAGCCAGTGAAGGGCTTTCACTGCCAGATATAGAAGTGTGGGTACCGGGGAGATGATTGTTTTTTGAGCCCGAGAATGCTATGGTCAAACCTACTGTCTCTCTCACTCTCACCAGAATGTGAGCTTCCGGAGGCAAGGAGTTTGCCTTTGGGCCAAGCTCCACGTCTTCGTAGCTGTGTGACTTTGGTCGATTCACTCAACCACTCTGAGCCTCCATTTCTCAGCAGCAAAATGTGATGATTGAGAGCATTAAGCGAGCTGACAGATGGCATTTGTGAAGACAACCTTGTGCATGGGAGATGCTCTCTTCCCATTGAGGGTTTTGCGCAACCACACCTGTGTTCTCTCTCCTCCACCCCCATCCCCAGACCACACTCATCCTTCAAGGCCCATTCAAATTGATCTCCTTCTTGAAATCATTCTTCACAACCCCATGGCTCATGTCACTGACAGCTTAATAATCAAGTAACCATAATTTTTTTCATTTACTTTTATTCTTTCCTCCTTAGATTGTAAAGCTTTTGAAAGCAGGAACACAATTTCAAGCACGGTTGTGGGGTGGCCAAAGCCCCACTAGCGTGGGAAGTAGACGCCCAGGGTTCAGTTCTTCTAGGTAAACTTGGGGCTCCACATGGCACTGGGGGCTTCAGTTTCATCAGTCAAATGGCAACGATAACCTCCCTCACAGTTTCCAGAAGATCAATTTAGACATTCTGTGTGAAACACAGTTAGGAGGAGTTGAATAAATATTGTTGAATGAATTGAAACTGCTTTGAAAAATGAAGTTCTTTACAAATGTCAGACCTTATTTTTAATTCCCCGTAGTGTATAGTAAAAGGCCTCATCTTTAATTGCTGCTAAGAGAAACTGCATGCTTAAATATTTTCTCCTGTCACCCAGATGAAGACCAAAAGAGGCATCATACAGGGGTTATAAAGATTACTCTGGTTTTAAATGATATTTCATCTTCCTTCTCAGCAGGTCGAGATGACCACAGCTACCCCTTTGGGGAGTACCACCTTCTTCTCATTGAACATGACCACCAGAGGAGAAGACTTTCTGTACAAGAGTAAGGTCAACTTAGCTGGGCGGCCAGGGGAGCGAGGGCGGGACAGGTGTTGTGGTCAGCTCCTGGTGTCGAGGTCAAGAGCGTGGGCCCTGGAGACACACTGCCTGGGTCTCAGTCTCAGTGATATACCACTTGCCAACTACATGACCCTGAGCACGTGACTTCACTGCTCTGGGCCTGATTTCCTCATCTGTAAGATGGGAATATTAACAATGCTGCCACATAGGTAGGTGTGAAAGCTAGAAGGGATAATCCATGTAAAAAACATAGAATAGCCTCTGTGCGTATGAAACATACTAAGTACCTAATGAGTATTATTATTATTATTACTATTACTGTTATTTTCGTTAGGGAGTTTTGGGGCTTAGAAGGCGATGGAAATTTGTATCTCTTGTAAGATGGCCCTACACGAGTCACCTTAAAATGCAGCTACTTTCGTACTAGTTTTGCAAAGCAAAAACATCCCATCAATTTACCAAGGAGTAAATGAATGTAGGTAGGAAGAGTTAGTCCTGGGGAGATATTTACCAAGAACAAGGGGTCCCTAGAAGGAAAAATTTGAGGACCATTCTTCAGAAAACCAACTGACTGTATTAGGTGAAATTTGGGTCCGTTCCAGTCATGTCAGGTGACTTGGTACATACCTCCATGAATGCAACAGGCCTCCCGACACACATGGAGCAGTGATGGACAGTGTTAAACAGCTACAGGCTGGGGTACTCGCAGGAAGCTGGGTTAATGGCAGGATGTGGCTCTTCTATGGAGACCCAGAGAGGGTCACTCTTGGGACAGGGTCCCACATGTTAGCCTGCTCTTGCTGGGTGGGGAGACCTACAGAGGCCTGCTGAGATATGTCTCAAAACAGTTCTGAAGTGAAATGCAGGGTAGATAGAATCACTGTCAGCAAGATGGGAATAATACGTTTTTGTTTAACTAAAAGTCATGGCTCTCAACTAGGCAATTTTGCCCCCTAAATAAGGTTGCCAGATTTAGCAAATAAAAGTACAGGATACCAATAAAATTTGAATTTAAGATAAACAATTCGGCTTCCCTGGTGGCGCAGTGGCTGGGAGTCCACCTGCCGATGCAGGGGACACGGGTTCGTGCCCCGGTCCCGGAAGGTCCCGCATGCCGCGGAGCGGCTGGGCCCGTGAGCCATGGCCGCTGAGCCTGCGCGTCCGGAGCCTGTGCTCCGCAACGGGAGAGGCCACAACAGTGAGAGGCTGCGTACCGCAAAAAAAAAAAAAAGATAAACAATTAATAGATTTTTAGTATAAGGATATACCATGCAATATTTTGAAATTATTCATTGTTTATCAGATATTCTAATTTAATGGGTATCCTGTATTTTATCTGGCAACCCTACCACCAGGAGACACTTGGCAATGTCTGAAGACATTTTTGCTTGTCACAACTGGGAGTGTGGGAGGAGAAGTGCTACTGGTATCTAGTGAGTACAGGCCAGGGATCCTGGTAAATACCCTGCAAGGCACAGGACAGTCCCCACAATAGAGAATTATCCAGCCGAGGTTGAAAAACCCACTGGACTCCCCAGGAAGGAAAGAAAAACAAGTAACTCCATGATGGATTCCCCACCCCCTCCCTTTTTCCCTCTGTCCTTCTTCCTATGAATAAATGCACAGTCGTTGTTGTTTTTTAAGTAAACTTTTTATAAAAGCATTACATATGTTCGAAAAAGTGCCCAAATGATAAGTGCACAGCTGGACGAATTTTCACAAAGTGCGCACAGCTGTGTAGCCAGCCCCCCAGATGAAGAATCAGGCCACCATCAGTGTTTCAGAAGTTCTGGTGCCCTTTGCAATCACTATCCCCCACCCACTCAAGGGAACCCACTGTTCTGACTTCTACCACCATAGATTAATTCTACCTTGGTTTTGAACTTTGTATTCGTGGAATCATACCACGAATGATTTGTTCAATGTTATGTCTGTATGCACCTATTTAATGGTTGCAACATAATGTATATGTATGTATATGTGGATGTGTATATAATATCGTATTCTATATTCCACACTTTTCTATCATCGAAAGTGTTCCATGTACCATAGTCTTCATAATTATTATTTTAATTACAGTATATTTCATGGATAAGTGTGCTATACCTTATTAAACCCTTCCCATATTTAGAATATCAATAATGTAATAAACATTTTCATTCATATAGCTTTTTCTGTATTTGGGATTATTCCCTATGATCAATTCCCCAGAATCAAATAGATCGGTTTAAAGTATGAAGCTTTTTTTATGATTCTTGATGTTTTCTATATCAATTCTGGCAAGGCTGTTGATCTTGAACCTAATATTAGAATTTGACTTTGGGACTGGGAGCTGATACTGAAATTAGAATCTGAGATATTAAGCTACAAGGACATTCATCATAGCCATGTTTTTAATAGTGTAAAATTGAATGCAACATAAATATCCTCAATAAAGAATTGCTAAACAAATTATGGCACAGGCAAACAGCAGAGTACTATACAGCCTTCAAGAGTCATGAAGAAAACTATGTACTTACATAGCAAAAGGATCAGGGTATTTTGTTGTAAAACGGTCTATGGAATATGGTTCCATTTTTATCAAGTGCATATTTTTCCATATTTATGAATATTTTCTTAAGATGGATTTTCAGACATAGGATTAATAAATTATTCTAAAAGATGATAGATAAATATGCATATATGCAAAAACGTGATCGCATTGGTGAATGTATACGTATGTAGACTATCAGTGGCTCTTGGGGTAATGAGGTCTTCATCTTCCCCTCCTCTTTGGCTTGTATGTATATTTTCAAAATTATCTACACAGGGCACAGGGCTATTGTTGTTGCCCATGTGTGTCCTGTAGGAAAAAAAAAAATTATCTACAAAAACCACATATTACTTTTATATCATCTGAAAGAAGGAAGGATGTTTTTATTTCACAAAAGAAGTTCAAAGCTATCTTGGGGATGATAAGAGCAGGACTTAGCCTAAGGCAGGATTTTGGCAGGGCAGGTGCTGAGGATATGGCCCTCCAAGTCCCATTGGAGGTAGAGGTACACTGCCACTCTAGATGTGACTCTGTCCTGGGGTCAGCAATGAGTATGCCAGGATTTCACGTTCTCTCCTCTCCTTGACCCAGTGAGGGTGCCAGGTGTTGTGTCTTCCTCCCAGCCTCCGAATCCTTCCTTGCATTTCAGTTTGCACGTTAGCCATCTCCACTCCTCTCTTCCTCGTAGGTTCTGGAGCCATCGTTGCTGCCATTGTGGTGGTTGTCATCGTCATCTTCACCGTGGTTCTGATCTTGCTGAAGATGTACAACAGGTACGGGATGCCCTGGGCTTTGGAACTGTCTGGTCCCTTCAGTGATTCCAGAATGAATGGGAACTAACGTTTGTGGGTGCCTATTATGTGCACAGCAGTATCTATGAGTCCATCATCAAATGCTCTAACCCTTTGTGGGTCCTTTTTTGCTGTCTGTTCTACTGGAATAACTTCACAGTGACCATATATTTTTGTATTTGGAGAAATATTTTTAAAATATAATAATATAATGACAATGATAGTAACCTTGAGCTGTGTAGTAAACTCTTATATGTAATTTGCAGATAAGAGAGGAGTGTTTCAATCCTCTTCTCCTGGAGAGCCCTTGCTAGGTTGTATTGTGTGGACCACATGAGTATTGGAGGTGACAAATACTGAAATGCACATACCTGCGACTTTACTTTCTGGGACCAAATAAGAGGAAATAAAATCATATAAATTGATTGTAAGAAGAGTAACTGCTGTGTTATCACCTTATGTGTTATCACCTGTAGTCACAGCTTTGCTAGAAGATTATTCTTTTCAGTGAATACATCAAAATTAAAAGACTAAATTCAATTACATCATAGAAGACCTGGAAGCCATTAAAAATATTGTAGAAATGTATAAATTGATGAGGAAAGTTGTTTACAACATATTGTCAAAATTTACAAAGCAGTATGTACGTCATTTTTAAAAAATTAATTTATTTTTTGGCTACGGCAGGTCTTAGTTGTGGCAGATGGGATCTTTCGTTGCGGCTAGTGGCTCTTCGTTGCGGTGTGCGGCTTCTCTCTAGTTGTGGCGCACAGGCTCAAGGGTGCATAGGCTCAGTAGTTGTGGTGCGTGGGCTTAAGTACCCTGCAGCATATGGGATCTTAGTTCCCCTACAAGGGATCGAACCTGCGTCCCCTGCATTGGAAGGTGGATTCTTAACCACTGGACCACCAGGGAAGTCCCTAAAGCAGTATGTACATTATGATCATACACATGGGTTACGCACATGCACCCAGGAAAAGTTCAAATGATATACCACAAGGTGTTAACAACCAGTATGTCTGCATGATGGGATTGCTAGTAGGTTAGTTGGTTGGTTGGTGTTTGCAAGGTCAAGGGGTGTGCTTCTTTATTTCTGCATTGTTTTTATAATAATATTAATGATTTTATAAGGGTAGCTAACATATATTGGTCTCTTACTATGTGCTGGGCACGGTTCCAAGCTCTTTACATGTATTAACTCATTAGGTCTTCATAACAGCACCACAAAGTGGGTGCTTCTATATCCCCAATTTTATAGGTGTGAAACAGGCACAGGGAGATTAAGTAACATGCCTGAATTTACTCAGCCCTAATTGGCAGAGCTGGGATTCAAACCCAGTTCATCTCGTTTCAGAGAAAATACTCCCACCAGTACATGTATAATAACAATAATAACATTTCATATGTTATTTTTTAAAATCTTTGGGCTGTTACAGTTTGGGTCTATTTCAAACCAGGAAGTGACATCAGACCCCAAGTTCTACCCGCCATTCCTCTCCATCATTGCTGGAGCTCTAAACCCCTTTTCTAGGTTGAAATTTGGATGGAGACTCTACTCACCCCATCCTGTTTACAATGATACGTGGGCTGGGAATTGAGAAACCTGGGTTCAGTCTTTGGTCTGTCAAAAGCAGGCAAGTTATTTAGCCTCTCTGTGCTTTGATTTTATCATCTTTAAAATGGAAGTGTCTCTAAATAGACATTTATCCAAAGAAGACACACAGGTGGTCAATAGACACATGAAAAGATGCTCAACATTGCTAAATATTAGAGAAATGCAAATCAAATCTACAATGAGGTATCACCTCACACTGGTCAGAATGGCCATAATTTAAAAGTCTACTGGACTTCCTTGGTGGTCCAGTGGTTAAGAATCCACCTGCCAATGCAAGGGACACGGGTTCGATCCCTGGTCCGGGAAGATCCAACAAGCCGTGGGGCAACTAAGCCCATGCACCACAACTACTGAGCCTGTGCTCTAGAGCCTGAGAGCTGCAACTACTGAAGCCTGTGCACTCTGCGCCCATGTGCTGCAACTACTGAGTCCGTGTGCTGCAACTACTGAAGCCTGCACGCTTAGAGCCCATGCTCTGCAATAAGAGAAGCCACCGCAATGAGAAGCCTGCGCACCTCAATGAAGAGTAGCCCCCGCTCGCCGCAACTAGAGAAAGCCCACATGCAGCAACGAAGACCCAACGCAGCCAAAAAAAAAAAAAAAATCAGTTAAAAAAAAAATTAGGGCTTCCCTGGTGGCGCAGTGGTTGAGAGTCCGCCTGCCGATGCAGGGGACACGGGTTCGTGCCCCGGTCCGGGAAGATCCCACATGCTGCGGAGTGGCTGGGCCCGTGAGCCATGGCCGCTGAGCCTGCGCGTCTGGAGCCTGTGCTCCGCAACGGGAGAGGCCACAACAGTGAGAGGCCCGCGTACCGCAAAAAAAAAAGTTAAAAAAATAAGTCTACAAATAATAAGTGCCAGAGAGAGTGTGGAGAACAGGGAACCCTCCTCCACTGTTGGTGGGAATGTAAGTTGGTACAGCCACTATGGAGAACAGTGTGGAGGTTCCTTATAAAACTTAAAATAGAGTTACCATGTAATCTAGCAATTCCATTCCTGGGCATATATGGAGAAAACTCTAATTCAAAAAGATACTTGCGCCCCAATGTTCATAGCAACACTATTTACAATAGCTGAGACATGGAAGCAACCTAAATGTCCATTGACAGATGAACGGATGAAGAAGATGTGGTATGTATACACAATGGAATACTACTCAGCCATAAGAAAGAATGAAATAATGCCATTTGCAGCAACATGGATGGACCTAGAGATCATCATACTAAGTGAAGTAAGTCAGACAGAGAAAGACAAATACCATATGACATCACTTATATATGGAATCTAAAATATGATACAAATGAACTTATTTACAAAACAGACTCACAGACATAGAAAACAAATTTACAGTTACCAAAGGGAAAAGGCAGGGGTTGGGGGAGAGGGATAAATTAGGAGTTTGGGATTAGCAGATACAAACAAAATAGATAAACAACAAGGTCCTACTGTATAGCACAGGGAACTATATTCAATATCTTATAATAACCTATAATGGAAAAGAATATGAAAAAATATATATATATGTAACTGAATCACTTTGCTGTACATGAGAAATTAACACAACATTGTAAATCAACTATACTTCAATAAAAGAAAAGGATAGGGAGACTTCTCTGGTGGGGCAGCGGTTAAGAATCCGCCTGCCGGTGCAGGGGACACGGGTTCAAGCCCTGGTCCAGGAAGATCCCACATGCTGCGGGGCAACTAAGCCCGTGCGCCACAACTACTGAAGCCCGTGCACCTAGAGCCCGTGCTCCGCAACAAGAGAAGCCACCGCAATGAGAAGCCCACGCACCACAATGAAAAGTAGCCCCCGCTCGCCGCAACTAGAGAAAGCCCGCGCGCCACAACGAAGACCCAATGCAGCCAAAAAGAAAAGAAAAGAATAGGTAGAAATTTTAATTCAACAACAACAAAAATGGAAGGTTCTTAAAGTGTGATAATTGTGTTATGGTTACATTGAGGAATGCCCTTGTTCTTAGGAGTATTTAGTGTTGAAGTGGCATGATGTCTGCAACTAACTCACAAATGGTTCATGAGTTTTTAAAAAACTGTGTGTGTGTCTGTGTCTGTGTCTGTGTGTAAATGGGGCAAGTAAAAGAAAGAAAGCAAATGTGGCAAATTGTTAATTTGTCAATTGTTTAGAGAAGGGTATTCAGGTATTAGTTGTACTATTTGTGTAACTTTTCTGAGGATTTGAAATTTTGAAAAAAGAAGCATGATAGGTCAACAAGATGAAATTTCATGTAGACATTAGAATGAATGATTGTTGTTAGTTATTGAATTTTATGGCATATGAGATGAAAGCCAGGATATATGTTTCAAGTCCATTCTCTTCTCAACTGTGTAAAAAGTTCTTCAATATTTCTAGCAATAAACTTAGCAAGCATAATGAGGCTTCACATTACAACTCTGAACAGAAAAAAAACGTAATATCTTCATTTTGCCTTCAAAATAGCCACCTATCTGCTACTTTACTCATTCATTAATAGGAAAAAAAATAAAATTAAGTATCCGACCTAGGTTAAACAAAGAAACTGAAGGGTCAGACTACCTGATGTCTAAGATCCCTTCCAGTTGTAAGCTTCTGTGATTGGCAATTAAGCAACATGATTTAACGATGATCTATATTAATTTCATCACTGGAGCTGTAGTCACAGAGCTCGTTCCCCAAGGCATATGAGGGGGAAGGCTCAGCCATGCGTGTGTATCTCATTACAGGAAAATGAGGACAAGACGGGAGCTGGAGCCCAAGGTCCCCAAGCCAGCCTCCCCTTCTGCCCTGGGCCCAAACAGCAACAGCAGCCAACACCCTGCAACTGTGACCTTCAGCCCTGTTGACATCCACGTGGAGACTCGGTGACCCCCCCATCCTGGGTGCTGTCTCGGCCACCCCCCATCCTGGGTGCTGTCTCGGCCACTGTCCAAAGAGACTTCAGTCAAGACCAAGAAGCACATTTCTCCTCTGGCAGCTTCACTATGAGTTTGTTCCGGTCAGGTCAACAGGGGCATCTCTTATGCAATCCCTGATGCCTCAGGCAACCCCCAACCCCATCCTGCCGGGCCCCACCCCAGGTACGTCCATATCCCTGCTGCCACCCTTCCAAAAAGCTGTGCTATTTTGGGAATCCACTGCTGTGGGTTTAGCTGTCTCCCCCCAAACACAATAGCTAGACAGACAGACAGACAGGCAGATAGCCCAGGAGTCTTCTGGTCAGGAGTCAGGGGTCAGGGCATGCTCCTTAGAGGGTCTGCCCTGAGGTCATATCAGAGGAAGGGCCATATCCACAGCTTTGTAGAGCAAAATAGTCAATCCCATAATCAGGCACAGGGGAACTAACTTGGACTAACTCACCAACAACCCAGCTTGTTAATTTATAGCTTGTTCCAGTGCTAAATGACCGCTAGCTAGCTCATGATCATCGATCAGCACATTTCTCCCTCTTTAAGAAAGGTTTTGGGAAAAACTGGATTCTTCTCCAAAGGTGTCTACTTCTTTAGTAAAGAGTCAAAGTCGAAGACATAGGATGACCTTGAGGAAGAATGGCATCTAGGATGAAAGCTTGTTGTAGTGTCCATGGGCCTGGAATAAGCCTGGTGTCTGGTCAGGGCCCCTCCCCCCACACCCCCCCACAGGGGCTGGATTAACCTTGACTCAGTCTCATTTCTTGGCTTCCCTCTCTTTGGATTCTGAGCAATTCTCACTCTCCAGTTACCATCTTACCTCCAAGGTCCAGTATTTGGAGACTGATTAGATTACAACTCTATTTATGTTACCTCTGCCCTTCCTGGTCACCTTGCAAAGATTCAGGATATATTCAAAGTACCACATTCACAAACCATTCCTCTGGACAGAACTCATCTCTTTGACACTTCAGCCTGGAGAACAATCTACTGAAAGAGGAAAGCATTTTGGAATTAAGAAGACCTGCCTTCCAAGCCCTATTTCCTGGTTTTGTGGCCTTGGGAAAGTGACTTGACCCCTCCGTATTCTGTTTCCTAACATGAAATGGGAATAACGTCTGCCTCACTGGGTGACTATAACAAGCCAAGGACTTACTAAAACAGCTTAGGTAGTTCCTGGCACCCAGCAGATGCTTTATAAATGGGAGCCAGCATTATTATTATGAATTTCTTCCATTGTAAGACATACACTTGTTCCCATTTTAATGATTCTGAAATCAGAATATGTCTTAAAATTGATGGGTCCACTAATGAGGTTGCGTTTTTTTTCTCTCTCTCTCTCAAAAAGCTGTTTTTTAGCCAGTTGTGCATTTTACAGTTGAAGGCATCTTGGAAACAAGGTAATAAATCTGTATTCTGTTACAGACAGTGACACACTCTGACATTAAACCTTAAACTCTAGGAGCCTCTCCTTCTGAGGGAAATCCCTTTTGAGGGAAAACTGAGGGTCAGGAGGTAAGAAGACTGACACAGGGTCACACAGTTCATGTCATCCCACTATAAGAATGCTCACTGGAATATATCTGGAGAAATACAGGCAATTTCTTTCTCCCCAGACATCTCTTCTCCCTCCTGTGTTTAAATATCCACCAGACACTTTGCAAGGTGCTTTTACATAAGTTATGTCATGGGATTTATTTTTCCCAATAACCCTGGGAGGTATTATTTTTCCCATTTGCCAATGAGAATTTCAAACTCAAGAAGAAAAAATACTTGCTCAAAGTCTCACAGCTTGTGAGACAGTAAGTTGCAAAGACAAGACTCAAACCGTGGTCTCTTTGACTCCAAAGTCCATCTTTTTGTTGCATCACACTCTTCCCTAACATCCTGGCTCAAAGAACATGGATTCTTTTGTGAGCTGAACAAGAGGAGGACAGGCTTACCCATGTGTCCGAGTGGAGGTCGGGGGTCAGCTTCCACACCAAAAGTGGGGCAAAGCCACTTTGGTAGCCTCCTCTGGGCTTCCATGATTGTAGCCAAAGGGGCCGTTTCCAAATCCATCCAAGCTCTAAGGATTTCTGCTTCATTCCCCCACCACTTAGGCCCAAGGAGCAAGGCATGAGATGGCCTCGAACCAGGGCAAAGCCATTTAAGGACTCAAGCCCACATAGATATGTTTCCCAGATGTATTGTGCTTTAAAAAAAAAAGATTAGGGCCTCCCTGGTGGCGCAGTGGTTGAGAGTCCACCTGCCAATGCAGGGGACGCGGGTTCGTGCCCCGGTCCGGGAAGATCCCACATGCCGCGGAGTGGCTGGGCCCGTGAGCCACGGCCGCTGAGCCTGCGCGTCCGGAGCCTGTGCTCTGCAACGGGAGAGGCCACAACAGTGAGAGGCCCGCGTACCGCAAAAAAAAAAAAAAATAAGTTTGGAGTGTTCTAGCCCTAAAGCCAAACTCTTCTGTCCACAGTGGAATCTTCCTGGAAGAAAGAAGAACATATCCCTCTAGTATAAATGAAAGCTTGGAAATGGAAGGGGGAGGTAGAGAGGTGAGGGGGAGGCAAAGAAAAGCGTTGTGCTTTGTTTTTAACTGATGACGATTACCTCAGTAAACATCCTTTAAGGGCTCCTGTATGCCAGTTGAGGTGCTACTAAACACAGTAAGCATGGTCCCTGCTTTCAGGGAGTCTGCAGCTGGCCTCCTGAGACAGGGATCTTGCAGCACAGTTGAATTTCTTTCCTGACAGGTGGCTTTCCTAACAGAGCAGATGCTGCCTTATTTGGCCACTGAATCAATAAATGATATTAAACGCTTAAAGAAAAATGTCTAAAAATAAAAAAGTTTAAATCAAACATTTGTTGAGTTGATTTCAATTCAGTTTAGAGATAACAAATACCTTTTTTAGAAAATTCCTTCCCCTGACAATGTAGACAGTTCCCTGAGGGAAAGCCGGAGCTGCTTCAAACATTGCGTTCTCACTTCTATAGGATGGTGGGAAAGATGGGCTGCTCTGTGAGGTAGAAAATGTGTTAACTTGATGAAATATTATGCAGAGAATCCCATTTCACAGCAGGCTGAGAAGCCAAGCTTTGGGGACCCCGGGCAGTGGAGGAGACATTAGAATGGAGCCCAAATCACCAATAATGATGTTTACCATTAACTAAGCTCCTGCTGTGAGCCAGGCATAGGATGGGTCCTTCCCACCCACCAGCTCCTTTAACCATTACAGCTCCCCTGCATAGAGCGATCATTATTTCTGTTTTTTGGATGAGGAAACAGGTGCAGGGAGGTAGCTTGTCTGTGGGTGATGTCATGGACATGTGTCCTTCTTTTGGTGATGTTGAGTTCATTTGACTGGTCTAATTATTAAATATACATAAGACAGGGCTTCCCTGGTGGCGCAGTGGTTGAGAGTCCGCCTGCCGATGCAGGGGACATGGGTTCGTGCCCCGGTCTGGGAAGAACCCACATGCCATGGAGCGGCTGGGCCCGTGAGCCACGGCCGCTGAGCCTGCGCGTCCGGAACCTGTACTCCGCAACGGGAGAGGCCACAACAGTGAGAGGCCCGCATACAGAAAAAAAAAAAAAAAAATATATATATATATATATATACATACATAAAACAGATTAACAGGAGAAAAAAATAAATTTATATGCATGGAGGTCTCATAGAAATGGGACCCCTGAAGTGACCAAAGAAGGCTGTTTATGCAATATAATTTTTAGACAAAGAAGCAATTATTTGTGAAGATTCAATGGAACAAAGGGGCTCATGCTTGGTGTAGCAGATGAATGAAGAAGTAACAATGTTTCTTTATACAGATTTCTTAGCCTTGAATTTCCTAACTCTGGTGATAAGGATGCTTTCTATCCTCCTGGTATAAGGAGGATACCTTCACATGGGAGATTTATTTCCCACTATCAGGGAGAAACAGGGGGGTCAGAGAGGTTTTCTTTAATATCATTTTTTTTTCTACTAGCTGTTTCTCAAGTAACTTTAATTCAAAATAATCAATATGCCATCATGGCGTATCTTGGGCAGGCTACTCTGAGCCCCAGCAGTGACCATTCCTGTGTTTGGGAAGTCCTCTACTTTAAGAGACAGGACCACCTCCTGCTATAAAAACTGGAAAGGCCAGACACTCATTTTCTCGGAGTCTCTTGCAGCTGGGGGAGGTCACATGACCTAGGCTTTGCCAATCAGACACCTGTGCCGCAGACTTGGAATCCAGAAGTTGGCAACCTCAAGGGTCAGGAACTGCAGGATCTGCTCTGGTGGCAGGTGTGTTGGCACCCTCCACTTCAAGAGGCAGCCACATCAGGGATTCTAGCAGCAGTGGCAGGGGCATTCTTGAGTCCAGACCCAGTGCCCATTGGAGTTGACTACGTGAGCTGTGCCTGACAACATCAGCCATGGTATCTGTACCAAACTAGTTCTGTAGTAGGATTTTAAGCATCACACCTGGCATCATATCTCTGAGCCTGGTTCTAGCCTTCCAGGAATTCTAGCAACTACCTGATTCCCTTTTCTGTTGAAATCAAGGGTCACTTCCTGTTGCTTGTAGCTAAGTACTATATGGCTGTGGGGGACTTGCTCGTGGCCACCCACATGGGAAGTGGCTGGCACTAGAACCCAGGTCCCCAAAGCTCTTGCTCTTTCCATGCACATGCTTCCAGGCAAGTGATCACAGGATCCCAAAGTGCTGTGAAATCATAGAGGAAGTAAAGTCGCCACCAATTACTCTTATCCCAGAGACTTTGTGACTTTGTGAATGTTAATGAGGGAGTATTTAAAAAGGACCTGGAAGAATGGGTAGGATTTTTTTTTTTGCGGTACGCGGGCCTCTCACTGTTGTGGCCTCTCCCGTTGCGGAGCACAGGCTCTGGATGCGCAGGCTCAGCGGCCATGGCTCACGGGCCCAGCCACTCCACGGCATGTGGGATCTTCCTGGACCGGGTCACAAACCGGCGTCCCCTGCATCGGCAGGCGGACTCTCAACCGCTGCGCCACTAGGGAAGCCCTCCCCATCTTTTATTAACCACCTGCTCCCCATCTTTTACTAACACTAGAATATGTTCAGAATCTTCCATTTCACTCATTCTGATGTGTGTGCAGTGGGTGCTCATTATGGTTTTAATTTGTATTCCCTGATGATTAATGGAACTGATCGCTTTTTCGTATGTTCATTGGCCATTTCAATTTCATTAGGTTTCATCTTTTATGAAGTTATCTTTCCATTTGTCCATTTTTTGTATTTGCTTCTTTCCTTTTTCATTACTGACTGGTCAGAGTTTTATATGTATTCTGGATATAAGTCCTCTGTCAGCTTGCGGCTTGCCTTTTTAAAAACTAACAGCTTTGGGCTTCCCTGGTGGCGCAGTGGTTGAGAGTCCGCCTGCCGATGCAGGGGACACGGGTTCGATCCCTGGTCCGGGAAGACCCCACATGCCACGGAGTAAGGAAGCCAGTGTGCCACAACTACTGAGCCTGTGCTCTATAGCCTGCGAGCCACAGCTGCTGAGCCCGTGCACCTAGAGCCGATGGTCCGCAACAAGAGAAGCCACCGCAGTGAGAAGCCTGTGCATCGCAACGAAGAGTAGCCCCCACTCGCCACAACTAGAGAAAGCCCACGTACAGCAACAAAGACCCAACGCGGCCATATAAATAAATAAATAAATAAATAAAGGGCAATGGGGAGCCACAGAAGGTGCTGGAGTGT